AGAACCAAATTGCCAAATTTCATCAAATTATCTTGACCTGTAGCGTTCGCACAAGGTTTACATGGACACACAGACAGACAGACAAACGGACGGACGGACAGACGGACATATCTTAATCGACTCAAAAAGTGATTCCGTATCTTAAAGTATAGCTATTGGTATACTTGGGTGTAACAAACTTCAGCACAAACGCATAATTCCCTTCTCACTATAGTGGTGTACGGTATAAAAATTATGACGAAGGTCATTTTGTTAGAAAAACTTTTTAAATCGGAAAAAAAGTCGAAGAAATTCCAGTATACTTTTTTAGAAACAGCTTAATTGGTACATGAATATCAGAGATATGATAAAAATTCTATTTTTATTCTATTCCTACATACATATATCTATTTCTAAGATATTTCGGAGATCTGCCATTTCATATACATATGGTGTGGGAAAAGATTAATGGGCTTTAAAGTTGAAAGTATTCTTTAAAAGTTTTGAGAATTATGCAACTTTGTGCGGAATTGTGTTTCTTAATATTTTAATGGGTTTTTTCAAATTTTCTAAAAAACAATCAAAAAGTCATTACCCTAATGTACATAATTTGATCATTCTGTTTATAATTTCCACAATATAATTTCCCAACCCTTATTGTCTATCTGTCTGTCTATCTGTCCGTCTGTTTTTTTTAATAATTTTTTGAAGACTCCTGATATCCCCGTGTTCCGTATTTTATACAATTCTATCACACATACTTTCGAGAAGTTTCCTATTCCAAATCAGCAAAATCGTTGCATAAATGATCGGTATTATATAAAAAGATCAAAATTTCAAAACCTATAAAATATTGTCTGATTTGGTGGCAATATTACTCACAATAAGTGGATTGCGTTCCCTAATTTCTTTCAAATTCCATTCATAATTTTGACCTGTGACACTATCTGAAATTATGGATAAACAGACCTTGCAATCGATTGATTTTGATACGAAACATATAACAATGTATTAGAATATGTTAACGGCTTATGTGTAACGTAAAAATTATGGCAAATTTTTTATCCGACCAATCTATATTAAGATTTTAAAATATCAGTGGAATTGAAAAATAATGCACTATAGATCGAACATAACTTTTGATATGAAAAACTAGTCTTAAACTAAAATGTAGGAAATTTAATTGTCTACAGAAATGTAGTAGCATTTGAAGTCATAGGAATTACAATAAGGGTGATATTTTTTTGAAAACTGATTTATGTAACCTTTTACCGCCAATATCTCGCTTAGCGTACATGGCATTAATTATTACGTTTAATGCTTTAATTAAGACCCCAAAACGAAGCCCTGTACCAACATTTATTAAACTATTTAAAATTTACCATTTGACTAATTTTCCTGAACTAATTAAATTTTTTAAGTGTTTTATCCAGTATTTGAAAGATTTTCAGGTGAATTGAATCCATTAAGATGTGTTTAGTTATATGTCACAAAACGCTAATGCATAAAATCGAATGATGTTTGTTATTAACTCGGACTAATGACCTCTTCCATGCAAAATTATGTATTCTTGTCCGATGTAATTCTGAAGTTTTCTAAAGTTGTCTGATCATATAAGAAAGCGCTAATCAATGGCATCCGTATGACTTAAATGCTTTAGACTAAATTCTATTTGAGAATAACTAATGTTAAGGTTTTAGCTACATACCACCATACCCCTGAATGCTGCAAGTAAAATTTACTCATTAAATCAATAAAATTTAAGTCTATTACTATTGAAATTCAACAAAGAAATTCATTATAAAATTATTACAATCCAGTTTGACATGCATACATACATTTATACTTTATTTTAAATGACAAAAATTTGAAATGAACCTTTTGAACAGCAAAAATTTTATGCTAAATTAAATTAATTGCATATATAACAGGAAATTTTACAATGTCATATTCATGTACAGATTAACATAAATTCTAAATGTTTAAAAAAGAACTTTTCATCTAGAAAAATATTTCAGTCGCGAATTTTGCGGTATATATGGAATCCAACATTGGCCCACAACGAACATGGAGGAAGTGAGAGAATTTTTTTTATATTGCATTTCCGGTTTAATGGAAAATTTAATAAATCGAAATAAAATACTTTACAAACATACAAATAAAAAAATGAACTTAAATATTCAGTAAAATATTTATAAAGAGAGCTAAATATGTATATTTTTTTATGCACTATGGACCTAATGAATTCAGTTGTTTAACAGATTTGTCAACTCAAAAATAATATAGTTTTATAAAAAAAATAGTTTTTTACAAATGGCATAAAAAACGTGGTAAGGCATATGTATAAGTATGTTGGCATTTACATACATATTATAAATATTTTAGTGTAATGTAGGAGTTTACACAAATAACTACCTCTGAAGCAGTTACTACGTAATACTGTTATTTTGTGTATGCTTTCAAGGAAACGTGTAACCGGATGTTGTGTTTTTATGTTTAACCTGTTTAACTTCCGGGCAAAAGGTAATAAATATTGCATAGAATATTTATAAAGAATGAGTAATAAGTGTAGGTTAAAGTGAAATAAGTTATCAATGCTGTACTAAATGTAATACAAGCCAAACTAAATATTCAACAAATATTTAACATAAACTTTTTTATGCTGTTCACCTTCGATAAAGCATACAACTCTTCAATAATTCTGTCAGACATACTTTTGACAAGTTTCCTATTCAAGAGATTTACCTTCATTATTTATGTAGAATTTCATCGTTATACTGGTATTTTAAACCAGTTATGACCGTTAAAACTGTTTTCCGAGAAGCTATTTGTATAGGGGCTATGCGAAAACGAGGACGAATTCTGTCTATTTTCAATACCAAACAAACCTTAGCAATGAATATTTATGCAAAATTTCAGCTATCTAGCTCCTCCCGTGTGGTCCCAGTCGTGATTTCAACAGACGGACGGACAGAGGGATGGAAGTATAGACTGACGGGCATGGCTGGGTCATCTCAGAATCTAATAAGGACCCAGAATATATAAATAGAATCAATTATGGACTGATACTCCTAAAATTTGGTAGAGAAATTTTTGTCGAATTTTGTCGCTGTACTTTATTTTTAAGGTAGTAAAAAGCGATGAAGTCATTTTCTGAGAGGGACTTTATTTTGGTTAGGTTTGGTTAATTATGGACCGATCCTTATAAAGTTTCAAAAAAGATATTAAGGTTCCTATAAAATATGTTTACGTCGAATTTCATCGTTATAGCTGCTTCTTTTAAATACTTATGAGCGTTAAAGTCTTTTTTGAAGGGGACCTTATATGGTGGTAGGGTAAATTATGGACCGATTCTTATAACATTTTACAAAACGATTTAGGTTCCTATTAAATATGTTCATGTCGAATTTCATCGCTATACACGCTTCTCTTGGACAGTTATAAGCGTTAAAGTCAATTTCTGAAGGGGACCTTATATGGGGGATAGGGACAATTATGAACCGATCATTATAAAGTTTAACAATGATATTAAGGTTCCTATAAAATATGTTCATGTCGAATTTCATCGCTATAGATGCTTCTTTAAGGTAGTTATTAGCGTTAAAGTAATTTTCTGAAGGGGACCTTATATGTGGGATAGGATCAATTATGGACCGATCCTTATAAAATTTTCCAAGGCGATTTAGGTTTCTATAGAATATGTTCATGTCGTATTTCATCGCTATAGCTGCTTCTTTTAGTCAGTTATGAGCGTTAAAGTCATTTTCTGAAGGGGACCTTATATGGGGGCTAGGCGAAATCGTGGACCGATATTGCCCTTTTCAATACCAAACAAACTGCATCAACAAAAAGTACCTATGCAAAATTTCAGCTCTCTAGCTACTTCCGTTTAGACTCTATCGTGTTTTCAACAGACAGAAAGACAAACAGACAAACAGACGGACGGACATGGCTAGATCGTCTTAGAATCTAATAAGGACCCATAATATATATACTTTTATGGATCTTAGACGAATATTTCAATGTGTTACAAACGGAATGACAAAAACAATATATGGGGGGTATAAAAATAAATCTAAATTTTATAAAAAAAAAATTCACCCGTTTTTCGTTGAACTATAACACTGTCCGACAATAAAAATTAGACACGAACCGTATGATATAAGTCTGAAACGATAAATTTAATGGAGAAAAACAGCGTTTTTCATTTTGTGAGCCTGTGTCTATTTCAACCCTTTCACGCACAAAACTAAACCGCTAAATTTTTGACAGCTTTTTGTCCTGACAGTATAAAATAAAACTAATACAAAATATTTCCCAACTCTTTTTGTTTGCATGAAATCAAATTTGACATTGTTTGATCAGCAGAAGTGTCCTTTAAAATGGACACAGTATCACGAAATAAAAAACTCAAAACGTAGTTTTTCCTTAGTAAATTTATAGTTTCAGACGTACATATATTATCCGGTTCGTATCTAACGATTTTTTCTCTTTTTGTTGGACGGTGTAATATATAAAATAAAACTATGGTAAGTTTTTCGCGGACAAGCATTGTTTTTAAAATAAGGACGTCCTTGAATCCATGATATCTCAAGAAAGGTATTTTCCATTTAATTTATTCCACTAGGTGACCGCAGGTAGTTCAATGTAATATACTCTTGCAGTCGCATCTATTAATAATGTTAACATTCTTAAAAATGTTAAAAAGATTACGTCTTACATGTTGATAATAAATCATATTCGATATTTACATTATATAACTTTTTGATAAAACATTTTATGGACCATGCACAATTTTATTAAAAAAAAAATGATTTTAAAACACCCTCTTTTAAGCTATATATTATTTTTTATATTTATTAAAGACTTTCATCTTTAACTTCAATTAGCGTGTAATTCTATTTAGTTTAATATTTACAATTCTATTTCTGTATAAAAAATAATTTGTTTCTATTTAAACATCAATATTTATTTAAATGTTCTAACTAAATTTAAGATTTTTCATTTTAATTTATTTGCAGATTAACTACAAAGAAAAAACGAATATAAAAAAATAAATATAATAAAAATCTTGCTTTAAATGACACCTGGTCACTGGCAGACAGGCGAAGTTGCACAATAATAGCAATTTCCTTTGAAAAAATAAATAGAAATTTGCCAAGGAAAATTGTTATTTAGACCAGAAATATTTGAGCTAGAAGGCGTTTACAATGAATAATATTTCGAGCAAATAAATTGACTAAACGTAACGAAAAGACTACAAGAGTAAAGAAATAAATAAGAAAATGAAGCTATGGAATAGATAAAGTGAAATTAACAAGAGAATAAATTACTAAACAAAAGAAAAAAAATATAAATATAAAGGTTAAATGAAAAATTTAAAAAATACCTTAATATAATGCTAAAACAAACTTAATAGAAGAGCTTAAAATATAACTAAGTCAGCTTTAAAATTGCAAAAATATAAAAATATTATTATTTCAAGTTAAACGAAAAAAAAAATGTTGAGTTTGCAAAGAACAGTTTGATATTATTGTTTGTCATAAAAGTAAAAGTTGGCAATATCCTGTATACAAAAGAAACAAAACATTTAAACTTTTAACATATCAATTTGTAAATTTTACGCACAATAGCTTAAAATATCTGATTGCGGCTGTTGTAATAAAGAAACACACGCACGCAGTGACAAAAACACCATACAAAAGAAATTTATTACAAAAAAATAAAAAAGTGAAACTGATAAAGTATCTATACATTTCAATTGGCATATCAAATGAAGGCAACAAAAGAAACATAACAGAAGAAAAATATACATATAACCAGCACTGACATATACACAGCCTCTGATACATGCATATGATTAAAAGAAAATAAAGAAAAAAAAAATTCAAAAAAATATATAACACCTACAAGCTGATGTAAAAAAATACAAGCATTCAGATAAACATACATAAATACATACATATCTACAAACATTACCAGCAACAAATTACATATGTATGTAAAAACAAACACCTGCAAATCAACTTTACATACATACATTGATAAAAATTTGTTAAAAAAAGAAAGCACACAACTACAATAAAAATATACACACAAATCCAGCAGGAACCAACAAGATACTGTAGAAAAACAAACAGAACAAAAGGAAAAAGGATTATGCTATGAAAATGAATCTCGCATTTGATACACGCATTTTCATACTTATTTGTTGTTTGCTTCAAGGTAAGTTTGAAAAGAATCTTACACACATGAAAATATAATAAAAAATACCTTTACTCATCACTTTTAGCAATAAAATTATTTACAGTGGAGAACAAAATTTTCTTAAAAAAATATAAATTTAACGAATAACATTTTACTAGCGTACTTGAAACCGAAATTTTATAGTTAAAATTACAAACGAAATGACAAACTTATGTATATTTACTCGTTTCACTAGAGTAAAGGGCTAAAAAGTATGACTTGGAGAACGAACAATTACACAGTGCAACACGAAAAAATATAACCACAAACGGAAACCACTACGTGATAAAAGACCAAAAAAGACCCATGTCTCTCAGTTTTGCCCAAAAGTCATGCTCTATTTGTATGGGTCCCCAAAAATTTCGGGCTTCGGTGTCATTTTTGCAAAAAAGTGACAATTTTCTCAGGCTCATTTATATCTTACAAACCGTTCGGAATTTTGATTTTGAGGCAAAGTTCCAGCTATTGTCATAAAGACACAAATTGTGAACATATAAAATCAAAGAACATCATCTTCAAGATCTAAATCGCAAAAAACTTAAAAAAATCGAATTTTTACGTGTTACAAAAATATTTCATGTGCTTCTCTAAATAAGGCGTATACTTAATATTTGTAATATCAATAAATAATTAACACGTATACGTACAGGTGTCGTTAGTAAAAGCATGAAAATGAAGCTTTTTTGGATTTAAAATGTTCATATTTTTTTGTTCTTTTAAGGCGCCAAATTCTTTCACAAGGTTTTTATATTCCTCTTGAAATGAAAAACAAGTAAGAAATTATAGTCGGGGGAGGCCGACCATATAATACCCTACGCCTGTTACAAAAAAAATGTGATTTAGTTTTCATAATAAGGCATTTAAGTTGAATTGTACCTTGCCTCAGATATTAAGTATATCTGAGGCAAGGTACAAGCCATTTATTGTTGAATAAAATTGTGGACATTTAAGTCGAATTTTGAAGGGGGCTTTGAATAGGAGCTATGGTCAAATGAGACCCTATAATTAAAAAAATCATGAGGGTCATCAAGGCTAGTATAGAACTTGGTTTTGCAGTTCAGTTATATGGGGGCTATGTGAAATAATTGTCCGATGTTAACCATTTTCAACAGGCTTCGTTTCCGGTACCCTAGAAGATTGTGTGCCAAATTTCATTGAATTATCTTCAAAATTGCGACCTGTACTTTGATTACAAGGTTTACAAGCCCTATTCGGGGGTTCAGTTTTATGGGGGCTAGGTGAGATAATGGACCGATTTTAACCATTTTCAATAGACTCCGTCTCCGGTACCATAGAAGATCGTGTGCCAAATTTCATTGAATTATCTTCAAAATTGCAAAAAATGGCATAATTACTTATCCAAGGTTTTTACATAGAACATATTTTGTTTGTAAAACCCCAAGAAAACCTGTACAATGCCGGTTACAAACAGTTACACTGTAATATACCTTTATCCTATTACGGATGTAGTTGAGGATTTACCTGATTTTTTTTTAATATTATATATTATTTGTATGCAGCATTTAAATGTTTACCTTTAGCCCAGAGATAATCATCATCATTTTCTTATACTTCAAAACATCATCATCATCATCATATTGTAATAACCATCAATACAATTGTAATTTACTTACACACATTATCTTGCAAGAGGTTACCCAGCAATTTTTAAATATATCAATGTATCATGAAAAATAAAAATCTAAATGACTAACCAAATGACTCAAATTTTTATTTCTTGTAGTCTATTGCCAAGAACTACGAACTATTTGCAATACATACAGAGAGCCAACCATCACTTCAGAACACTCAAGTGATTAGTAATTAGTTTTTTAATAGCCCTTAGGAATATAGAAAGAAATTACCTTTACGTTCTTTTTCTGTTTACTTCTGAGTAAAAATGCGAAAATTCATTAGTAATCGAATGGCGCTATGTAGGATCACTTAACAGATTCTGATATCAGGAGTAATCCTAAAACGTTGAACAGCAGGGTAATATACGTAAATACATATATGTACATTAGAGTGGCCACGTTTGTATGGAGGAAAAATTAGGTGTCGATGTTTCCAACTAAAATTAAAGTTTTATTGATTATAAGATAGCGTTTCTCAAAATTTTTCCTGGGGACAATATTTGGCGAGCTGGATCAAAGGATAAAAAGGTCCTTTTTTGAGGTTTTTATGATTTTTTCATATTTCCAAAGGAAAGATATACAATTTTGGTATCATAAGAAAGGTCCTTGAGAGACGCTTTCAATGGCATATCAGAAATTTTTGTGTAACAGTAATTTTAATCGAAATTTTCAAATTTTTCGTAAAATTTTCAGATTTTTTACATTTTAACATAGATTAATTTAATATAATTCGTTGAAATTTATACAAAATAATCCTCAATAAAATCTACCGAAATGGTTTTTTCCGTTTTTCAAAATTCAATCTAGATCAAATTTTATTTAAATTAATCGAAACCTATGTACGCTACCAAAACATTGCGAAATAATGTAAACAATAACATAGAAACCGTTATTTACAAAGCATGCGTAACAAACAAGTAGATGTTTGGGATAAATTGTGTTAATATTTTAGTTAAACTTTTAGTTATAAAGCTAGTGAAATTACGCGTATGTTGATGTACATATTATTAGTACATTGAATAAACATAGCTAGCAGAAACCCTGGGACAAAATAGAGTTTAAAATATTAAAATAAAATACAAAATATAACGAATTTCGAAAAACAGAAAAAAACATTTCGGTGAAATTGTATGAGGTTTATAATGTAATAATTATGTTTAAAAATTCTATGTAAAAATTTGAAAAACTTAAAAAATTTCCGAAAAATTACGACATTTGTAATACTTTTGGAGTTGTATACAAGTCTGTGTTATGTCATTGAAGTCGTCTCTCAGAGACCTTTCATATGATACTAAATTTAAATCTTAACATGAACTAAATTTTCAATTTCGGTAGTAACATTAGCAACTTCCACTTTGGGGCCACCCTAATGTACATATATTAATGTTATAGCTTTTATAAAATTTTTGGAAATTTCAAATTTTCACTATTCATTTCACATGGAGTTTTTTCACTCCACTATATTACTTTTTCCCGAGCTTAAAAAATGCAAATTCTTTAATGTTTACGATATTCATTATAAAAAAAATTTTTAATAATATCAGAAATTATTGATTTAAAAAAGTGTTATTATTTGGCTCTCGACATTTTTATGAAAGAAAAGGAAAAAAGTATCCAAACATGTAGATCATGTAAATTTCTTTGTGAATGGTTTTAGAAAATCGATTAACACGGAAGGTGTTTGCACATACGGTCTACTTTTGGTTATAACCCTAATACTTATATACTATCAATGAAAGATACTTTCTCTTGTTTATTAAATTTGAATCTTTTTCATGTTTTGCTCTTATTCTTTGTATATGTGTTTTCGTTAGTACCCTAACAGTTTTATTAGGAGTCAATGTATCCCTTTTAAAAATTACACAGGCTAACAAAATTTAAAAAGAAAGAATTATTACATAACATCAGGTTTTTGAGATGTCGTGTCCTAAAAACTGAAAAATCTAAGTTTTACTAATATTTGAGACCGCATAAGAGAGGAAAGACCTTCATTTAAAAATCAATTATATCGTCTGAAATTTTAATATATTGACTTTAAAATAAACGTTTAACATTTGTGATATCTTTATCATTCTTCGAGATATTTTTACTTAAAGCTTGAAAATTTTTAAATTCCAAAAATTTTATATTGCTTTTATTTTACGGAAAAAAATCATCGAAACATAACTTTGTAAGTACAGGAGATTTATTTTTATCGACTCAGTTAAAGCCACGATATCTCAAAAATCTGATGTGATCGAGTAATAATTACCGAAATGATCGTTCTATAATGGAATAAGGCCACATATAAAGACACCTTCCGAAAGAAATTAGTTATTTATCACGAAGTTGCATTTGTAGTGGAAACGAAGCTTGATTTTATACACTGAACGATCAATTGACTTCTATAACACACTAACACACACGTAGGGTTACATTAGAACAACTTAAACTGCAGGGTTATATTTAAACGCAACCTTCATACAAGTACTTTGTATCGTTATTTTGTATTGAAAAGATGGGGATGTAGAAACATACTAATGTAGAATAGGATGGCTCCGATGTTAGCACCTGAAATGAATATATGGTTTATTCTAAGACTTTTGTCCTGTAGTCAATATTTGGTGCGATATCCTATTTCTCGTAAAGGAATGTTTTGAAATTATTATATCGTATGAAAGGTCTTTGAGAGGTCTTTTGATGTGACATCGAAATCAAATTTAGTTTTTAAAATTTTACGGATTTTTTTTAAGTTTTGCGTAAAACTGAGGTATTTGAAATAATTAAACGTTAAATTTTCATGATACCAAATATGCATTTGAGCTAAAAAATTGTCTTTGTTATATTATTTCATAAAAAATATTTTAAAGCATTAGTATTTGGTAAGAAGGATTAAAAAAAAGTGATATTAAAAGTATCACTCAGAATTCTTTCTACTAGTGTTTAGATTGAGAACGTGAGTCAACCTAATATACATGTGTAGCATTTAAAATACACATTTTACAGCAGGAAATTACAGTTTGTGATTGTTATTGTGACATTTGCTAAATGGATATTTGAGTTTGAATGTTTGTTGGTATAATGTTATGAAATTCTTATTATAATGCACTGACTGTGAAATTTAAATTTCTTTTCAACTTTATAAAAATATATATTTACATACATCTTAGTATTATTTCTCCTAAGAATTTGTTATTCATGTTGAGTTAATGTTTAAGATGTTTTTTTTTACAATGGAGGCGTACAGTGATTATGGTTTCATAAGTATTACAATTTTAATGATTGTGATTTTAAGAATTATGCATATTTTTCTGAAAAAATAATAATTATTTCAAAGTTTACATTAAGATTCAAACATTAAAAAGC